CCTCCTGAGCCTCCTTGAGTAGAGCGCTCACGGCATTGACGTGGTCTTCGACTTCTCGTTGGCGCTCTTGTCTGATCTGTGATAACACCATCAGTACATGCGACGAGCAAGTGCAGGCAGCAGCATGCGTGTGCGTATGCAAGGGGAGACGGAAGGGCCGCGGTTGCCTCACTCACCTGTTTGCGCATCTCAATCTTCTCCTCCCGCGCCTTGGAGGCTGCCTGCTCCTGTGCCCATTTCTGCCGCTGCAGCTTGCGCTTGTGGAAACCCGTGAGGTAGTCTTCCCGCGCATCGAAATCGAAGTTGACCTCCTCGATCGCCGATACCGCCTTTCTCTTCTTCGAGGGGGGCGCACTGAGCACGGATTTCTTGGGCCGGGGTTTGGCGAACATTGTGGCTGTTTGGTTGAATGTGTCGATGATGGGGACTGTTGACTGGCTCGTCGTGGTGGTTTTTTCTCTGGCGGCGGCGGCGCAGTGAAATTTTCTGGATCCGACTCCATTGGGGGGGTTTCTTCTGGCAGCCTTGCAGGACCATGCCGCTGCAGCCTCTGTAAGGGCCCACTGACGCGGGCCAAGCCGAAGAGCTAAATGCGCTGGAACGGGCTCCAGGTCTCGCCCGCTAGGCGTGCATCTGTCAGCGAAACCAGCAGGTGACATCCCGAGGGGGCTTCACTGCATGATTCCTCGACTGCCGTGCATGCTGACATGCTGACATTCCCTCTGATGATTTCAAGGTTCATGAAGCTCCGCTCACGTCAATCTGCTGTTTGATACGGTCACGAATGCTCGGATGGTTACCTATGTCTTAATCCAGTAGTTCTCAAGATTGTATTTTGTTTATCGAAGGTCTGCGTACGGCCCGACCCGTGACTTTCTTGCCCATCCCGATGAGAGTCTCTTGTAATTGTCCCTCGACGACTGTGAGCTGCTCAGTGCAGATATACCTTCTTGACATGCATGAACTCTTGAAAAGCCTTGAGGAGCCCGGGAGTGAGCTACACTGTATTCATTAGATATTGGAACGAGTGGTCATTCATATGCATTATGAATGTGGACTGTGTTGAAATGCCGATACCGCATTCCATGAGAATGTAGATCTTGAAGCATCAAAAGCTATAGGTGAGTACAACTGGCGGGCGTTTTGATGAATTAAGGCTGCACCGCAGGTGCATCGCTCTTGTAAAACGATATGCAGGGGCGGGGCAGGTAGTGACCTTGATGAAACTGACCTGAAGAGGCCTTGTTGGATCGCGATTGCAGAAATGTATTTAAGCGGGCGTGGGTGTAGTTGCTGATTACGTTGAGCTCGCATAGACGCATGTATCCAAGCTACGTCGTCCCTGGAGCTAATCCGCAGCATAACTCCTGGCAGAACGACGAAGGCTAGCCATCGCATCCAAACGGGCAAGCTTTCAACCACATCAACCAGCCATGCGTCTATCAAGAACAGCAGGCCTCATGGCCTTGTGCGCCTCGGTGCAGGCCTTCACCGACTCGTCGCCCTTCATCATGCTCTCGACCGCTGAGTACGTTTCGACCTACCACCGAACCCTTCCATCCTCGTCATCGAACACTGCTAACATGTCTTTCATCCCCTTAGGTTCGCGAAGTCCAACCCCGCTCAGCTTCAGACTCAGTCCCAGGTCGTCAAGACCGTTCAGGGTCTCCTCTCCTCCTGCCCGACAGACCGCTACCTTCTCGTCTCCCAGCCCAACGTCAACGCGGCCGACATCCGCAACCCAGCCAGCGGCGACTGCCAATCGCCCAACCTGTGCCGCGCCATCTCCGACAAGGACGCTCGCGGCGTCTACAGCGTCGCCGAGGTCGTCGGCGAGGTGCCCATCGGAAAACTGGCTGATTACATCAAGAAGTCGTGCGCGGGCAAGACGGTCGAGGTCGAGGAGGCCAGGCTCGCTGCCCTCGGACGGGACGCGAGAGCCGCCACACTCGCCGACAACGACCACGCCCTGGGCCAGCGCCTCGAGAAACTGCGCAAGGCGTCGGATTCGTACACCGTCATCTACCTCGCCAGCCCCTCGGAGCCCACCTACGAGGCCGAGTTCACCACCGAGCCTCTGCACGCGGAGCTCAAGCGCCACGAGGCGAGCCTGCGACACGTCAGGAGGGCCGACAACCAGACCGAGTGGAGCAAGCTGCCTCTTTTTGAAAAATACGTCTTCTTCTCCCCAGGTGAGTGATGGAGTCTCGTCGATTCGTGGTGCTATGAATGAGACTGACATGACCGTAGGCGTCTTCCACGCCATTATCGCCACTATTGTTCTCTTCAGCATTCTCGGTGTCGGTATCAGGGCTCTCGCCAGCCTCGAGATCCCGTACGGTGCTTTCGAGAAGGAGAACGGCCCTGCGGCTCACAAAAAGGCCCAGTAGATGTGTATCAAAATCGCCGCCAGGCATTTTTTTCCAGGAGTGCCTCCTTCAACAACCTGTGTATTTCATTTGAGAACGTCGGGAGTTATCGGCTGGCTTTTGACAGGCATGTTTCGAGTAAAGGCGGAGGAATGAATGGGCATGATACTTAGAGAGCACAGGAAAGGGGCCCTGTGGTCTGTAGAGACCAATGTAGTGTTTTTCTCGCAAATGGCATGAGATGTATTTCTATAACAAATGGACCTTTTTTCATCTTCCTCTGTTTGCCGCCCACCTCCCCTCCCCCCACAACAGAGAACCTTCATGCTTTGTTGCGAGAGGAGAAAAACGCCATGAACGCCTACTACAGCCTTGTCGGCCGTCTCAAATCAAAATTCTTCATCATCTCTCCAAACTTGGTCCCCCATAATCGGAGCGTTGCCTCTTAGACCAAGTGACTCGGCAGCAAAAAGTTAGCGATGCCCTCGCGAATGGCGTACTCGTGTCCGCAGTTGCCGCAGACGAGCTTGCCCTCCATGATCTGCGTCTCCATGAGGAGGTGGTGCAGTTCCTTGAGCATCTTCTCGTCGCCCTCGAGTTGCTCTGCCGAGGGGGCCTCCGTGGGAAGTTCGGGGAAGCCCAGCTTTTAAGGTAACTAATTAGCAATCTGCACGTACATGAAACAAAAGAGATGGTGTAGTGGACGTATATGAGCTTGGATGATGTATAGAAAAAGACATCTTCAGACGGAAGACCAAAATATGAGGGAAAATACGATGTAAGATAAAGTATGAACGAGAGCCTTACCTCAGTTGCGTTCGTTCGCAGAGCGGCCCAGTCTAAGCGGGGCAGGACGTTGAAGAGAAGTTGGGGGTTGACCTCGATGTCGTCCTGCGCCAGCTCTGCGTCCTTGGGGTGGAGGGGGAACGAGGCCGCGGAGGACTTGCAGGCCTTGACCGCGCAGGTCAAAAAGTTGAGACTAAGCAGCTTCATATTTTTTCTCTTATTTTGTCTTCGGGGCGTCAGGTATGATCGGTTGTTCGCTATTCAAATGTAGAGGGGTGTCTGAGTTGAAATTTGGCCAGTACGGAATTTTTTTTGGTACCCCACACGTGATGCGCTTTGGGATGGGTGCTTTACAGCTATTGGACTATGCTTTAAGAGAATGCAAGACGTATAGACAACATTTTCAACATCACGACAAATTGCACATTCGAATATAGTTGACATATGCATGTGTTGGCCATTTCTTGTTAGCTGGCATTTGTTGTCTTGTATTTCCTGAGCCAAGTCGATGCCCGCTTCCCCCTGTCAAATCCCCCTTTACGCCATAGTCTTCTCGTAGCCGACATCTCTTGCGGCCCTGGACTTGCTGAACTTGATGTAGGCGACGATCGCAGCAACAACAACACCACCGAAGAGACCCTTCTGGATTAGGGACCAGCCCTCGCCGGAGCCCACCTCCAGCGGCGTATCCTCGTTGGAGTAGCCTGACGCCCACTCGCTAGTGCCGTATTCGCCTGCAACGAGGGGGGCGTAGCCATCAGCAAACCAAGTACGTTTTTGTGTGTTGTTTCATCAATTTCGGGAGGTCATCAGCGGGAAGAGTCAAGGTGAAATGGTGTAAAAAGTGTCGGGTTGATGATAAAACGAGGAGACAGCGAGGGACGACGGGTTGTCACAGTACGTGCTCAGAGTTCCACGTGGATACCTTCAGGGGGCACCTCCAGCTCTCCGCTCTTTGCGATCTTGATCGTCTTGGCGGGGCGGTCGCCGGGCTGGGTCTGGGCCTGCTCGATCTTCTCGACGACGTCGAAGCCCTCGAGGACCTCGCCGAAGACGACGTGACGGCCATCGAGCCAACTGTGATTGTAGAGTTAGCGCAACTTCGTGGGTATGGAGTGTTTGTAGTTGTCGGCGAGGTGTGCTTACGAGGTGATGACGGTGGTGATGAAGAACTGGGAGCCGTTGGTGTCCTTGCCGGCGTTGGCCATGGACAGGAGACCCTTCTTGGAGTGCTTAAGCTTGAAGTTCTCATCGGGGAACTTCTCGCCGTAGACTGTGGAGTTTCCATATCGTCAGTCATCACGCAGAACTGTGAAAGCGGTTTGGATTGAGAACAACTCACTGGACTTGCCACCAGTGCCATCGCCCTTGGTGAAGTCACCACCCTGGATCATGAACTGCTTGATAACGCGGTGGAAGGTAGAGCCCTCGTAGCCGAAGCCCTTCTCGCCGGTGGCGAGAGCGCGGAAGTTCTCAGCGGTCTTGGGAACAGTCTTTCCGTACAGACCCATGGTGATGCGGCCGAGGGGCTCATCGCCGTGGGTGATGTCGAAGTAGACCTTGTGGGTGATCTTGGGGCCCTTGGCAGCCTGAGCGGTCTGCGCGAAGAAGGCCAGAGCCACTCCGGCGAGGAGGAGGGCAGAGACGAGTCTCTGAATGCTGAACATGATGGACACTGGGCACTGAACTCGATCAATTGGGGAAAGAAATTCAGATTCTGTGGATGCAAGTAAGAACCGTCTGGGAAGGGAGGAGAGGTTATCGCCAGAAGGGACAGTGTGTTAAATAGAGGGACCCTCGGAACCGTAGAGCTACGTTTCAAACTCCCCTCTCTGAAGCACGCGAATGAGGAAGTCGAGCTCGGACCCTGGTCGCCGCAACTGCCCAATGGGGGGAGGCAATCCGTGGAAGTGGATGGGTCCATGGCATAAAGGGTCGCCTTCTGGGCGGATCAGTGCTATCAATGCACCCGGGCAGCCACTGGTGTCACTAGACTACGTGCAGCACCTGCCACCGCCGCGTTGCAATTGGATCCACTATTTTCCGGCGCCGACTCTCCGTGAGTGCATCGATGATTTCGAAGTTTCGCGATCCCATCATCAATTGCAGGCACCAGATCAGCCCGCGGCGACGATAGTGACGCTCTTTTCGAGGACTCAGGTTTTAAATTGGAGAAAATGGTAAGATGGATATCTTATGACAGACACTGGAGCGGCAACTGACTGACCCTCTATAGGTTTTCATTCTAGGAGTCAACTTTTCCGAGCAAAAGCTCGTGAAGGTACGGCATCCCCTTCACCTGCGAACGATAACGACCCAGCCGTAACACCACATACGACGATGCTAACGATCTTATTCTCTTTATAGAAGGCGCTTGAGTCTTTCTTCGCTCTCGGGCCGACTACATCATCCCGCATTTTGGCCAAATACTCCATCTCCCCCATGTCCAAAGTCGGCGCTCTGCCACCGAAAACCGTCACGGCTCTTACGGCAGAGTTATCGACAATGACGATAGAAAGCGATGCGCGGAAGATCATTCAACAGAACGTCATGAGACTAAAGGATATGGGAAGTTACCGGGGAAGAAGACACGCCATGAACCTCCCCGTGAGAGGACAGCGGACGAGGACCCAGATCGAGTCGGCCAGGAAGCACAATTCTGCGAACAGACGATGGTAAACGCCCTTTGTGGTGGCTGTCGACTGGGTATTTGGAGAGCGAATGGGTTAGATTTTGAGGTGGTGCTCATTGCATGACCACCGAATGTACAACATAGACGGGTCTGTGGTGTGCCCAAACATGTATGACTATGAAAAACTATACCACTTGTACCATCAATTCCGGTTCCAATTTCACCATTGTCTTAGATACGCACAGGAGCGAAAGTTTGAGGCATCTATGGACCCATTGATACTGATTCTAGCGCACTGCCCCTACCACTTCGGGCTTGCGATATCATCCTCAAGAACAGGGTGGCCATCCTTTTGCAGCTTCTCGGCAACCGCCTCAACCTCCTTCCAGACGCGAAGAACATTTCCGCCAACGACCTTTGCCACGTCCTCGTCACTCAAACCCTGCCTCAGCAGCTCGGCAACAAGGCCTGGGTACTTGGACACGTCCTCCAGACCCTTGGGCACCGACGCAATCCCGTCAAAGTCGGAGCCGAAACCGACGTGGTCGAAACCGATAAGTTTGCCAATATGCAGGACATGCCTGACGACCTGGTCAAGCGTGGCGTTGGCGGGGACGTAGGTGGGCAGACCGTTCTCGTTGCCGGAGTCGACGCAGGAGATGAAGTCAGGCGCAAAGTTGACCATGACAACCGCGTTGCGCTCCTTGACGAGCTTCAGAACGTCATCCTTGACGTTGCGGGGGTGCGGGCAGACGCTGAATGCGGAGCTATGGCTGTAGATAACAGGCGCCTTACTGCCTTCCCAGTCCTTGCCCCCGAGGACATCAATCTGTGTCTCGGCGCTGTAAGAAATGTTAGAAACCATCCTTTGTAGGGATCAACGGGTCCTCGAAACCTACCTTGTATGGGAGAGGTCGACAATCAACCCGACACGGTTCATCTCGTGAATGAGACGGCGACCGGCAGGGCTCAACCCGTGCCACAGAGGCTCTGCCTTGCGCAGAGGGCTTTCGAGCAGCGCGGCGTCGGCGAACTTGTTGTGGCAGTTGTGGGTGAGGGTCGAGTAGCGGACACCCAGGGCATGGTAGCGTCGGAGATTGGCGACAGAGTTGCCGATTTGATGCAGACCCTCGACGCCCAGAGGGGAGATGAGCTGGCCCTTCTCCCATGCCTTCAAAGCGGCGCCGCTGTTCGCGCTTGAGGAGAAGTCCTTGGGATAGGAGTCCTTGATGCGGGTCATGAGATCGATTTGGTCAAGAGTCCACTGGACGCCTACGGTCACAAGTGTTAGAGTTATAAATTCCAGATCATTCAAACGGTCAAGACTTGCTCTCAGCATAGTTCTCATCAGAGAAGTCGCTGCCATTAGCAGGGCAAGGAGTGTAAACGCTCCAGAAAGCACCGCCGTTCTGACCCTTGCGAAGCCTGGGCAGATCAACGTGGCCAACAAGACCACCGTTCTCAAAGGGCTCAGTGAAGTTCTTCTCGTAGATGTGGTTGTTGAAGAATCCTCGGACGAGAATAGGGAGGTCATTGTGGCCATCTACGATGACGGTCGGTCAGCACTTCTCATCGTGTCGTACAGAATGCACAGGGTGGTCGTACCTATCAATGGAGTATGAGATAGAATATTGTGAGCCCTCTCCTCGACGGTAAGGGGCACGCCCCATGGCTTTCTCATTTGATGATAGCATGACTTCATAGGACGGACACCAAAAGTTAGTGTCACGAGCCACAGGGCGAAACAAGCAACAACGGCTTTCTTTGCAGGAGACGGAGTCTTGCGAGGAGGCAACTGGGCCTCATCGCCAGTCTCGTCACACATGAACTGTTTCTTTTCATCCATGGCGTTGGGTGTGACCTGGGTGACTAGCAAGCTTAGGTCTGTGTCTCACGGCTATGTTATTCGTCAGCGCTGCTTGCCTCATTACACCATCATAAGTGCGAATAACGAGTTGGCGATGTCATATGAACCCAGACAACTTACTGTCAATAGGGTGTCTGAAGACCGCCTCAAAAGGAGATGCTGCCTTGTTGTGAAAGTCAATGATCCTTCACAGAGGGAAGCCGAGGTGTTCAGACTCCAGGCATGTTGCAATACATTTGGTTGATTAGGAATCACGTCACAGAGTGCCCGGGGTCAAAGCTCCGAGCTGCGATTGCGTGAGACTCTTATCTGCGACTTGATCCCGGCGATAAGGGACCGTTTGGGAAGCTCCCAAAATCCTATCTGAGGACTCAGTTAAGTTTGGACACGTTTGTAAGAATTTCTTATAGTCCCAATAGCAACGTTCATTAAGATTCCATACTTTTGTAGATACTGACAAGTCATGGATTGATTTGCAGCCTGGTCATAGTACATTCTACAGTTCCTGATAGATCCAGTTGACTTAGTACGAATACCTTAGCCCGAGCTTCAGCAAGCCGTGCGAAAGTCAGCCTAGCAATTGTCGTAAGTTCTTGCGTAGCGTGAATTAAGGCCCAAGCGATATTGTTTTCTCGAGATCTCTTGAGTCTACAATGAAATCCATAGTTGCATAGTTGGACAGATGATTTTTCTTACTTTAGGACAGTGCATCAAAATCCGAAAGTAGGGACAAGCACTGACTAGGTACATACACTAGAGTGGGCTTGTGGATTAGAATTTCGGGAACGGACCTCATAGACGGGAAGCTCCCAGTCATGACTTTACAACTTCAGATGATGGCTGGCTCTTGCGTTCAGTTGAGCTTTCCCCAGCCAACTCAGCGATGGAACGATTCCCATATGCTGGGCTGGGTGGGTATTGCCTGACAGACAAGATTACGGACTGTATGGGGCAATCGTTGGGTTTCGTCTTCGCTAGTACATACATAGGCCGCAGACCAGCCCTTGGTAATTATTAACAACGGCCTTTTGTCGTCTGGGGAACCGTCCCAGTGGCAACGAGGGTTCTCAGGGGTTAGAGGAAGGGGCTTGGTGATCGGCGACAATTCTCTTTAGTTTCAACTTACGGTGGCAGTGGTCCATGGAAAGTCTCGTTCAGCAACAAAGAAGTGAACAAGGACAATAACCAATTTTGACGTCTTCAGAAACATTCCCTCTGGATAGTGACGAGAAAACCTTATCCCGGACTGCATAAATTGTGAAGATGATGCTTAATACGGCGCCAAATTGGCGGCGGCAACTGGTTTGGGAGGTCAGCCCTGTGAGAAGGGGGCTGAGAACGTCTTTGGGGTTCGCTTCGCAAGTGAGTGAATGAGCCGAGTCTCTCCAGTCCAGCTGGGAATAGCCCCATCGTTCTGCAACAGAGACGAATGCAGGGGGTTCACACAAGCTGTCCTTGCCCTGACATCGGTAGCTTTCTGCTTTGCTTCTGCTTGGCTGCCTCATTCAGGGTCATTTGCTTTGAATGGAGCATAACGGGGGGCAATTGGGGCCCTGACCAGTCACACACTGGGAAAGGAGATGAGTGGGGATCGGGCAGTGGCTGGAGCATGATGTATTTTTGGCTTCAGATGGCTCCTCCCATCATCATCGGCTTTTCAGCCAAGGTCCCAACTCCCCAGGCCTATCCGAGTCGCCCAGTGAGGCCGGCTAAGGGTCTGCCGCCTGAGGGGCCAAGTTTCGTTCGATCGTTCGTCATGAGGCAGGGGGGCCAATGGAATGGAATGCCACGTCTCCAAGTTCAAACTTGAAGGACCAAGGCACGCAAGCAAGGCCCCAATGACCGTTGCTATTGCAGCATTGCTAGACTGCTTTACGGATAGTGTCTCTGTAGCCCCGGTTCGTCGGGCAGATTGTTGGCAGTGGCAGAGGAGGAGCCCTCCAAGGGCATGAGGTATGCGTACCTACAGCAGGAGAATACCATGCTGCTGACCTTTGATCTAGGTTGATGCCGTGTGATGCCGTGTCACCGGGTTGGCTGCAGGAGGTGGATGATGAAGTGGGAAGAGGTGCAGCACGTCGTAAAGCTTCACTGATGGCCCTGCGGAGACCGAGGGACGCACAGCTGGACGCACAGTACGGATCCAGGTTCCTATTCCTAGCAATCTGGAAGCAGCAGGAGCCAGGAGGAAGGAATAGGTAGAGCATTGAGAGCAAAGTAAAGCAGCAGCAGGTGGAAGCAGCTTCTCCTTCCATCCTTTCTGCCCCCCCAACCTGAGGTGCATTTCAACCTTGAACCTTGAACCTGTCAGCAACCACTGACCACCAGCACCTTCACTCCAAAGCCTTTTCCATTTCTGCTCTCCAAAATTTCCTCCTCCAACTGGCATGTGCCCCTGACAAAGGACGACGACAACGAACACTACAGCATCTTGCTTCTACTTCACCTTCCTGCACCTGTCTCTTTTATCTCTCGTTTTGTTTGTTGCCGGCCGTCTTTTCCAGGAACAGCCTGCACTGCCGAGTCAATCGCGGCTGACGTATTCCTTCGCTTCTCGCAACCGACAGAAAAGCGTCTCTAATCTCGAGCCGAAAATACCAACCCATCTTTCCCTCCCACCTCCCGCCTCCTGCATAACGACTAAACGAAACATTTCTCGCCGCCTCCTTTCCTCTCTGCCCGCCAAACTTTTCAGCCTCAACCCGTATCAACACAGCATCATCGTCCGCGACAGGTAGGAGCTTTTAGGCATCATGCCGGGCTTCGAAGATTCCTTTTGGTCCAGCGACTATGCTGCAGGTAAGTCAACTGAATGCGCTACTGCAACCCCTCGCGCTTTGGCTAAGCATCTCCGCGCTAGGACTCGGCGTCCTCTTCAGCAAGTTGCAGCAAGGTGTCCAAGAAAACCGACAAGTCCTGACTGTCGCTCGAATGCGTGCCGAAGCCGAGGAGATTTACAGTCAGCGACTAGGAGATATTGCACCAAACGCAGACAAAGTCCAGGGCGGCTTCTCAAAAGATGATGGTGCCAGCGTTCGCAAGGTTCGCATAACGTCCCCACCGAGAGCTTTCCCGAGGCTCGTGCTAACCTTCATCACAGGCCTTCGATGGTGTTCGGACTGAGATGGAAGAGGGCGCCAAAAACCACAAGAAGATTGCTCAGAACATTCGGGACTTGGTCGTTAACCCTTTCTCGCGCTGGTGCGATGCCCACGAGTCGCGCATCCAGGACTCTCAGGATGAGCTGCAAGCTCGCATCAAGGCGCACGACAGGCAGGCCGAGTTGGTCAAGAAGCTGAGGAGCACCTACTTCAACAAGTGCCGACTGGTTGAGGATATCGAGGAGGAAACCAAGCTGGCCTTCCAGGACCCCGAGAACAGCCCGAAGAACAACATTCCCGAGATCAAGGTCTCCGAAAACAAGGAGCCCGAGCTTCACCCCCAAGAAGACGACGACGAGCCCATCGAGATCGGTGACGAGATCTACCAGCCTGAGCAAGTCAAGAAGATCCTGGCGCACATGCTGAACACCATCAAGCTCGGGGAGACCAAGGTGCCCATTCTGGGAACCTACCAGAACACATCGGCTGGCTCAGACATTGTCGAGTACCTGCAGAGGCACATGAACACGACGAGCGTCAGCTATGCAGAGAGAATTGGACAGGACCTCATCTCGAACGGATACTTGAGATTGATTGGCAACGTTGGCAGCACTTTCGCCAACAGCTCCAAGATGTTCTACCAGTGGCGTCCCAAGGCTTTCAAACTGTCCGGTATCCCCGATAAGAAGTCGCCTCTTGGTCGCACATTTTCCCTTCCTGCATCCGAGTCGTCGGATTCACCCGTGGTCGGAACCGTCAGCGAATACCTCGCCAACTGGAACGTCCTTAACAACCAACACCCCAACGAGACCCCACCGGAGCGATTGCGCCGTGAGGCCAGGGAAGCCGACGACAAGTACAAGGGTGGCGTGCGCAAGTTGGACGAGATGCGCTGCGATCTGGAGGAGACCATCTTCATTCACCTCCGCTTCCTGGAGCGCTGCGAGCTGGACCGTCTCAAGGCCATCAAGACTGTTATCCTGGACTTTTCCGGTACCATCAGCAACGTCATTCCAAGCATGCAATCTGCTGTGGACCACATGATGCTTTTCCAGGAGACCGTCCAGCCTCTAGGGGACCTCAGATACCTACTAGAGAACTACCGGACCGGTAGCTTCATTCCCAAGGTGGTGGTGTACGAGAACTACTACAATAAGGTCGACGAGCAGACATTCGGAGTGGATCTCGAGGCAAGAGCGCGCGCGGATAAGAAGCGAGTGCCTATCATTGTCACCACCATTCTGACCTACCTCGATAACCACTACCCTGACCTTGAAGGTGACGAGGCCAGAAGGAATGTGTGGCTAGTCGATGTTCCACTTCAGCAGATCCACAAGCTCCGTGGCAAGCTGAATGACGGCAAGCCCGCTGCGGCCGAAGTTTTTGATGAGTTCGATATCCCAACTGTTGCGGCGCTGCTCAAGCTGTATCTCCTTGAACTGCCTGGTAAGAAAATCCCCACAGTTTTGCAGAAGCCATGTACTAACAATATTATAGACTCCCTCGTTTCCTCCCACGTTTACGAGATTGTCAGAACAATCTACCAGACTCAAACCCAGGAAGACGATTCTGCTCGTGTGCCTGTGCTGCAACAGACGCTTTCGCAAATGCGTCTTACTAATATCGCAACCCTCGACGCCTGTATGAACCACTTCACCCGCCTAATCGACCTTACCTCGGCTGATGAGACTTACATCGCGTCTTTGGCCACGGGCATTGCGCCCTGCATCTTGCGTCCTCGCACGGAAACCTCCTTAACTATGGAAGAGAAGCATGCTTACAGACTCGTTCGTGACCTCTTCAACAACAAAGACGCCATCTTCAGCGAACTCAAGCGTATGTCTACTGCTGGCCACGGCGGATCGATCAGAGACAACAATCGCCCCCGCGCAATCAGCACCGACGAGAGCAACCGGAGAGCCAACATGGAAGAGCGGAATAGAGCTCTGCTCGAGAAGGCCGCCGGCAGCCGTGGTCGCGCAACAAGCCCTGCCCCCAGCCCTCGTGGCCACAGACGTGACCGCAGCACGGGTGGCCCTGAGACTCGCTTCCCGATCCAGACAAGCCCACCTGCGTCGGCAGTCGACCGTCACCGCTCTAGCTTGGGCAGCGTTGTTGGAGCCAAGAGATCCAGTCTCGAGGTTCCCGGTAGCGAAACCAGCTCGCCAAAGGAGACGACAACCAATGGATCGGCTGCGGCGCCTGCGCCTGCAGCGGAGGGAGTCGCGGCCAGAATCAAGGCTCTGGAATCGCCTGTTGAGAAGCGTAACAGCCTGGGACGTAGCAGTGTTCGATACTCTCTGGACCGACACGTGGCAGCCGCACCCAGCGCAGGAACAGACAGCGGCCCGTCGACTCCTCGCGATTCCCTCACCGCGCCCCGCGGAGTGACGCTCGAGGACAAGCCCATGGATGACTGAAGCAAGCGTGTTTAAGCCGTGCCTCCTTGTTCTTCATGGCCATGAGATTTTCCTTTCTTTTTCCTTTCTTAATGTCTATTTTCTTCAAACCAAACTACACCCCTTTTGTTGTGTGACGTGTGGACGGACGCTGGAAGGACTTATGTGCTACGGACGGCGGGTTTGCGGGGCAACATAAAAAAAAGGGGAATTCCACTTTTTGGCTGGTTTTGATTTTTCCTTTTTGGCGGTTTGAAACGCGAAACGACGGTGACGTTTGGGGAAGCGATTCCCTCGGTGTCCCCTTTGTATCATGTCTGTACGTAAACAAAACCCACGAGAAGAGAGAAGGAAGAGGATGATGAGAGAAAGACGGACCCGACTGAAAGTGCCGGGGAAGGAGGAGCAGAGAGCCGGGAGTTGTCGATAAGAGAAGAGGAGTACTCCTCAAACATTTAAAAACTTGATGTGTTTCTGTAGTGGTGTGAAATGATGGGTGTCTTGTGAGATATGTGCGGGCCGTAGGAAAGAGGGAAAACAATATACTGGCATGCCACTGCCTCGCAATACGCTTAGTGTGCTGGACACAAGGTCTTCACCGTCGCCTATAATCGTACTCGATCCGTACGTCATTCAACACTGCGCCTTTTTTATTCTACTATGCATGCAGGAGTTATTGTCTTGCTCTCCATCTCATCCTTTTCACGACCTCTTTCGACCGGCCCCTGGCTTGATTCTGCCTCAACCACTATCACCCGCAATCTCAGCCATCTTGGTCGTCTTCTTCTTCTTCTTCTTCTTGGGCACAACGACCGGCGGACCGGCGGCGTCGAAGCCGCCCTCCCCGGACCCCTCAACAGCCGTCTCGGGAGGCGGTATCAGCGCGGTGTTCTCCCCGCCGCCGGCACTGTTCTCCGCATCGTCCGTCAAGAGCACAGCGGGCGGCGCGGCACCGCCGTCGGCGACGGCAGCCTTCTTCTTCTTCTTTTTCGTCTTGACCGCCGACCCTTCGGCTCCGCCGTCTTTTTCTGTCTTCTTGCCCTTCTTGGTCTTCTTCTTCACCACCGTGCCGGCAACGTCGACGCCCTGCGCAACCTGGATGCGCTCGTTGGCGCGCTGCATCTCGAGACGGAGCCTCTCGACCTCCTTCATCGCCTGCGCCATCTCAGCCTCCTCGCGCTGCTGCTGCTCATAGTCAAACGGCGTGTTGCTGGACGACGCAGCGTCGCCCTCGAGGCTGAGGGAGCCGAGCGTGGACGAGTCGACGTGCAAGAGACCCTGGCGGAGCTTCTTGGCGCGCGACTTTGTGAAGCTGTCCGAGTTGTTCTCCGACTCGTAGTTGCGCGGCGTAGAAACGCCGCTGCCGGCGAGTGTCTCGTCCGCGGCGATGATGACCCTTTGCCTCGGTCGCGGTTGCGGTCGGTTGATGGGAGATGTGGGACCGGGTGCCGAGCTGCCCAGCTTGTCGAGATCCAACTGCATTATCGGTATAGAGTCTATATCGAGACCTGGGCCGTTCTCCTTTTGAAGAATGTTGTGTATCGGGGTCGACGTCCTGGGTGCGGCGTCAGGGGCGGCGATGTAAAACGGGTCATCGCGGTTGCGCTCATTGCGCTCGGCTTTCCTCCTGGCCACGATGTCTGCGTCCAGGTAGCTGTCTTCCGTCGCCTGCTGCTGGTACGAGCTGACAACCTCCTCTGCCGGGAGGTCGGCGATCCTGCTGATGGCTGGTTCGGAAGAGGATATGCTGGTAGG